GTAAAAATTTGCATAATACTGTATGGTTAAAGAAGGAAGGGAAAACACTGAATTGCGGTAAACAATTGAGCAACTGGATTCTGCAGTCCATTAAAAATCTAAAAATCAATTTACTTTAATATTTTATTTGTTCTAGATGCCATAACTGAATTGAAAATCATTCATGGGACCTGAGCTCTACTATGGCACTGGGCCACTAAACCAGCCTCTTTATCATAAATTACTTTTGACCGTTTCCAAAATTAATTTTGGCGCTTACTCAGCAATTTACTTTTCCTCAAAAATGAGTCAAAAATGAGGGAAAAGAACAATAGGAAAGCAGATGATCTGAAGCGTTATTAGAAAGAAAAAAAAGCAATGGAAGACGATCTGACGCGTTATCCAAGAGAGATGATATCCTTAAAACTCAGATCTTTCGTCTTTTTCAATAAAACACAGAAACATATGTCTGTGAGCTCGGCCTGTTTACGCCTTTGCCACAAATGATCATTCGCAGGAAGTCTATTCATGGATTATTTTAAAAGCTGTAGATCGTTTGAGGTATTAGTGTAACAGATGTTTCATTAGCATTTTGCAGGAAGAGAGAAAGCAAGAAAAAGAGAAGGCTTGACAGCTAAAGAAAGCAAATCTAGTTCCCTTCTTTATGCAAAAGATGATGCATTTGCATAATTCTATTATTTTAGCTTGTTAACAAATGCAAATCAAATTTGCATACAGCATTTAATTAGATCATCAATTGTTTGCCCATTGTTTAGGTAGCTATTTTTTAATTACAGAAAAGTAAAAAAAAAAGCATAGTAGATGCAAAGACCGATCCGCAAACAGTATGGTTATCCCATGTTACTGGGTACTACTTGGACGTTCTCGCACATCAGGCATAATTATGTCAGGTGCTTCGATTTCAGGCTGATTACCTCTAGTTACTATACGCCAACTGTTCGATGTATGCGCGCATTTTTTTAGGAGTCGGTAAGTGGTTGTTTACTATTTTTGCGGGTACTATTCATTAACATTAGGCAAAAAGCAATTGAAACCCGGATTCATATTCAAACTTTTTGAACAGTGCTACTAAATAGTCCAAGTGGTAGATAGCACAATGCCATTAGCAACCACGGTCTCGTGAAAGCTGTCAGTAGTATCCGCTTTCAAAAAGTACCTTCAAGCAAACTGCTTCCGGTTTTAATTCCCTGATATGCGCCACTGCCTACTTACTATCGAAGCGAATGAACGAATCGTAGAGGGACTGAATATCTTGCTGAGAAAATCGATTCATCCATTTTATCTTGAGCGTAGCGTCACATGCAGTTATACGAAGCCTGCTAGCAAGTTAGTTAGCATGTACATGCAAAAATTTATTAGTTTAAAGTAAAAATTTCCAAGAAAAACATACACAACAAAAAACAAACTGTTCTTTCAGAAGCATTAATCCACGAACCAATCCGGTGGTTTAACGAAAAACACACCACCATCCGTAGCACAATATGTCGGACAGATCTGAAATTATGCAATAATAATAATATAGAGATAAGGGATCAACCGACTACGGCCTATAACTTATTAGGCTTTTGGTAAATGATACTAAGAACATCAAGACCGAATAGCAAACGAAATATGAATAATTGGCCAATGCACCGGCTGCCGGTGCGAAATGCGTTTTTGCATAGTTCCCTGCAGTTTTGGTCGCTACCGGCACCAGTTTTTCCGGCTAATGCTTCTAAGCTAAACAAATTAAGACCGGCCGCTAGAATTGTCAGGAAACAACCCCTTAAAATTTCAGCTTTCTTGCTTTCCTGGCTCCCGAGTTATTAACTTACTCAAAAAAAACTTTCACAGGCCCGTACGTAGATACCACGCATACCCGGTTCTGGGTTCGAGCTCATTAATACTTGCTTGGATGAGGAAAATCCCTTTAAAATTTCAATCCTCTAGCTTCCCAGGTACCTGAGCTTGCTTAAAAAAAATTTGGCGGGCTCACGCATGGTACCATGCATAGCCGGGGACTGGTTTGAACCTCACTAAGACTTACGTGGACGGGGAACATTCCCTTAAAATTTCAGCTTTCTAGCTTTTTTGGTTCACTAGTTAGCGACTTACTGCAAAAAACTTCCACGGCCCGTACATGGGTACCACGCAGGTAAGATCGCCCATTTTGGGGATGGGGGCCCGTACATTCATGTTGATTAATTCCTTAAAGTTTCAGCCCTGTGACTCTTGTAGGCTTCGAGATGAAAAATCGGTACGGACGAAAACACAAATACACAGCCTCTCGTTGATATGCTTTTCCTGGATGCAAAAAACGCATAAAAATAAGGAATTTTAATGGTGAAGAAACAAAATAGGAGATGCGAATTTTTTGTTTTTTTGGGAAAATTTTTTCTTTATTTGAAACAAATTTTTAATCAAAAATATCCATTCACTGCGTGATCGTGCTGCGAGGATCTTTGTAACTCTATTTTTATGCGTTTTTTGCATCTGTACATCACAGAAAACGCATATTGACGAAGACTGCCTCTGTATGTGTCTGTGTGTTCGTCTGTACCGATTTTTCTTTTCGAGACCTATAAAAGCTACAGAGCTGAGAGTTTGAGAACTTCATCTGCATGCATGCTAATATCCCCAAAATGGGCGCTCTTACACGCGCGGTACCCAAGTAGTTGCCCGTGAAAGTTTTTTACAGGCAACCTGCTGATTCGAGCACCTGAAAAGCTAGAAAGCTGATATTTTAAGGGGAAGTTCCCTGTACCCGTGAGTGTTAATAAGCTCAAACCCGGATACTGGGTACGCGTAGTACCCAATAATGGGCCCGTGAAAGTTTTTACGGATAAGTTGTTAACCCGGGAACCTGAAAACCTAGAAAGCTGAAATTTTAGGGGATGTTTCCCATCCATGCAGGTCTTAATGAGTTTCAGTTCAGCAAACAGGCATGCGTGGTTCCCACGTAAGAGCCCTTGAAAGCTTTTTTTCGGGTAAGTCGCTAGCTCGGGAACGAGAAGAGCTAGAAAGCTGAAATTTTAAGGGGATTTTTCCTGAGAGTTCTGTCGATCGGTCTCAATTCCTTTAGCTAGAAGCATCTACCGAAAAACGGGTGCCGTTAGCGACAAAAATCTCCGGGGAACTATGTAAAAAACGCATTGGCAGTCGGTGCGTTGGCCATTTATTTTTCATACAGTTTCAGAAATCATCTTCTTTTGCGGAACACGCACATCGAATTTTTAATTGAATTTTATCATTTCAGCTGCTAGGACAAGGACCTGAACCCTTGGGCATTGAGATTTTTGAAGCGCATCGACACTTCCACCGCAAGTTTTCATCACTGGAGCATTTTGAATGTTGATTATCAGTACTATCGATCTCTACGGGTCAAATGACTTTGTCATAGCTCGCGGAAAATATTTCTAAGGGCTTAAGAAAAATAAGGGCTCCAGTCTGATGAAAGAAGTGGCTTATGTATTTCTAACGCAATTTAACTCGTAGCCCAAAATTTCCTAATACTGCCTTTCACTAGTGCTATGACTGAGGCTGTATCATCCAGTGATCACCAGAATTTCGTTCCCCTGCCTTCTCTTTTTTCGCACTTTTGTACAAACGAAAAAATTTACAAATATAATCTCGCCATTTGATCCCCTATTTTATTATATTCCATGCAATTCGCGAAGAATTAAAAAAGAAAATCTATTCTGACAGAAAGTAAAATTTTCAAAAAAACTGAAGAAATTAATACCCCAGCATTGCCATCTGGTCCCGCTTTTCCAATTGGTCCCGGCAATCCAGGCAAACCTGTTTTGCCTGCCAGTCCATTCTCACCAGGTTCTCCTCGTTTACCCTGCGGTCCCGGTGGCCCATCAATTCCGGGCATTCCGCGCGGTCCTGAAATGCTGCTTTAAAAAAATGCAGTGATGAACGCGTTTATTCAATTATTTTTCAACAAAATTTGCCTTTTTAATCAAAAATTGACTGAAAATTTTATTTTTATGAGTGTATAACAACTGTGGAAAAAGAAGTCGGAAAAAAATGGAAAAAACAAACCTGGCGGCCCAACCGGTCCAGCATCTCCAGCTGGCCCGGGTGGCCCAGGTATGAACGGAGCCGGCACTGCATCAACACCGGGATCACCAAGATCACCGTCCAATCCTGGAATCCCTGGAGGGCCTCTTGGCCCTGGAGGACCAGTTTTTCCGTTTTCACCATTTCTACCACGTGCACCTGGAACTCCCGGAACGCCTTTGTCACCTGGTGGACCCTAAAACTTGTGCTCCAGAATTTAGCAGAAAAGTGAAATTTTGCCAGATTTGCAAATTCATTCAAAATTTCGAAATCTAATTCCATTTTTTTCAGTTTGATCTAGGAGCAACATTCCGTACTCACTGGGATCTGATGAGTTTCCCTCTTTCACCCTCCCCTTCCCCTCTCCTCAAAAAAGATATCGAACTGCTGGAGCCAGAAGTGAGAGCAATGTAGATCATGTGTTACAGCCGACACATCGGTAGAAAAAAAAATCACAGGAGCTATGCAGCTGAAATTCATCCTCCTTTTTCATATTGTTACCCACGTACGCTTGGGTCTTACATGACCTCTTCTGAGCAAGAAGCCCTTGCCCCTTCTGGACACACAACAGCATATCAATAATTCAAAACAAATTTCAGCAAAAATTACCGTTGGTCCCTGAATTCCTTGCTTTCCAACCGGACATGGATCGGCGCATATTTTTTTTAAATCAAGCGGTGGTTCACAGGGCAATCGTCCTGGGTATCCAGGTGCCCCCTGAGCTCCAGGAGCACCTTTCATTCCTTTCCGGCCTGGAACACCTTTAGGGCCGGGCAAAGCGGTACAGCTGAAACAGATCTTCAATTACTAAACCTAGTATTCTCGTCTTCAGTTGTTATATTTTTCAATAGAAAAAAAAACAACAATTTGTTATTATCACTGTATAATTAATGCACCAATTCCCTCTTGCGCTCTTTGGAGGTCACC